CATATGTGAGCCATTAGCAATTACCTTTGAAAAGTCATGGAAGACCAGAGACATTCCAGAGGACTTGAAAATAGTCCCTATCTATAAAAAATGAAATAAGGACAACCTGGGAGAAGTGGGCAGTGGAGTGGTTGTGAGCTCGTCACAGTGCTCCCGCCATGTTCCCTACAGCATCGTCTTTTCCAGAAGACTGGGCCTGCAGAAAATGAGCCCCCCCCCACATGCAGTGTTCCGGTGCCATTCCTTCCCATTCCCTCCTGCTGGTAGAAGCAGTGACTGTTTATGATGGATTAGTCTAAAATAGCTGAGAATGGGTTTGACAGTCTCTTTGTTTAGTACCTTTGTAATTAGGGCCCTACCAAATTCATGGCCATGAAAAAAGTGTCACGGACCGTCAAATCTGGTGGTGTGTGTGCTTTTACCCTGTACTATACAGATTCCACAGGAGAGACCAGCGTTTCTCAAATGGGAGGTCCTGACCCAACAGGGAGTTGCAGCGGGGGTCACAAGGTTATTTTAGGGGGTCGTGGTATGGCCACCCACCTTTACTTCTGCGCTGCCTGGAGAGCTGGGTGGCTGGAGAGCGGTGGCTGTGGGCCAGATACCCAGCTCTGAAGGCAGCACCCTGCCAGCAGCAGCCCAGAAATAAGGGTGGCAGTGGTGAATCCACCCTCCTCAACAATCTTGCAACCCTTCCCCTACAACTGCAACACCCTGAAATTCTAGATTCAAATAGCTGAAATCATGACATTTACGATTTTTAAAATCTCATGACCGTGAAATTGACTGGAAAGGACTGTGATATTGATAGGGCCCTATTTATAATAGGGGGCATGTGTTTGTTGGAGCTGTTCTTTTTGTGGTGTTCTTACCCCAAATGTGGGTACGTTCTTATACAGTCAGTTTTCCCAATGGTCTGTAAAGAAGTGGACACCACACTTGGAGAAAGCAGTAAATAAAGATGCTTAATCCAGTTTAGACATGAGTCAAAGGCCCCACTTTCTTATCTGTCAGGGCACAGCTGTCACTGGATTTATGAAGTGTTCCACTCCGCAGTCAATTACTCTTTCCCACAGCTAGGGTATGAAAGACTCAGGCAGTCTGTACTTTTTGCTGTCAGAGTGAGGGAAATGTGTAACTGACTGCAGAGGTCAGTCTGGGAGGCAGGCAGGCAGGATTTCACTGTTTTTCAGTTCACTGTATCTTGTGCTTATATTCAGCTTGGTGGTTTTGGGGGGATAACAAGAGTTTATCGTGACAAAAGTAGTGGAATTGTGGAGGGAGTAGCCACGGTCCAGAGCTAATGTTCCAAGTACTTGAAATGGTTCTAGATGCACCTGGCATTTTTTGGGCAGTACCTCCCAGGCCCTGCCCTTCAGCATTTGAGGAGGAGTTGTGTACTTACTAGACACGTGCTGCATATATGTATTTGAAGTCCGTGTTTCTGTTGTTTCTGGTCTGGAAATCACAGAATACATGGCTCGATCCTTTGAGGTCTGTGACTGATGCTCCCTAGGGGTATCCAGGGTTGTGAGGCACCTCACCACCACCTGCCTTTAGTGTGAGGCAGCTTTGTCTGTGTCTGCTGTGGGTCAGCTCCCCAAAACCACCAGCCTCTGGCAGCACAAGCTCTGCCTGCCAGGCGTCTGCAGGCCTCGCGCTCTCTGTACAGGTAGCACACATCAGCCCCCGAGTTCACAGAGCGTTCCCTGCAGTGTCCAGCCCTTCTCCACTGAGCACTGACAGAATTACCAGCCCTGCTGTTCCCAAAGGAGAGAACACACCAGCTTGTCTGGGTTCACTCAGGACCACCACCTTGCTTAACCACAGCACTTAGATGCATTTATAGTGAAAACAACCATAAGTTTATCATCAAAGATTCAAGTAATAGTGAGTAAGAATGTAGGAAACAAATGGTTAAATATATAACAAAATCATAATACTTTCTAGAGAATAAACCTAACTAACACGATAACCTCCTGAAGCTTTGTCTCACCCAAAATTCTCTTCAGCATTTTCAACCAAGTCTGGTTGAGACCTCTTTTCCATGAAGCAAAAGCACTTGTCTTTCTTTCTTCCTTGATGAAGGGTGCCTGGGTGTCTTCACTGCTCGCCGCATACAGTCAGGCAAACCTTTGAAGTGCATCTCCAGATACGGTTCTTCCTCCCCCATTATCTCTCTCACACTCTCTTCGACTGTGTCTACACTTAGGGCTTGTCTGCACTTGAAACACGACAGCAGCAGAGCTGCAGCACTTCCGTGTGGAGACTCCCTGTGCCGAGGGGACTGTCCTGTCTGCATAGTGAATCCACCTCCCCATGACGCAGTAGCTAGATTGGTGGAAGAATTCTTCCATTGACCCAGCACTCTCTATACTGGGGGTTAGGTTGGCTTAACTGCATCTCTGCGAGGTGTGGATGTTACACAGTCCTGAGAGACGTAGCTATGGCGAGGGAACTTTTCACCGTAAACCAGTCCTTTGTTCTCTCTCTGAAGTCCTCACACTCAATTTACATATTAACTGGTTGCTGAATAAACATTCTTGTCCGACAGAAAACCTGTTTTTCACCTTCGCGGTGATCAGTACTGACTGACTTCAGGAACATAACTTCCGTATATACATACATTTCTCCTTGTATAGTTTGTGTACATGTCGCAATGATTTTGATGACCAGAGTGGCTCAGGCATTTACTCAAGACCTCACCTGACACCCTTTGGTGAACTAGAAAGGACACCCCAGACCTGGGGAATCATCGAGTGGGTCTGATTCCCCAGGGGATCCCGCAGGGATCAGGTTTTGGCCTTATGCTGTTTAATGTCTTTATCAGTGGCCTGGAAGAAAACATAAAATCATCACTGATAAAATTTGCAGATAACACAATATTTGGGGGAGTGGTTAATAATGAAGAGGACAGGTCACTGATTCAGAATAATCTAGATTGCTTGGCAAACTGGGCACAAGTAAACAGTATCCGTTTTGATACGGCTAAATGCAAATGTATACCTCTAGGAACAAAGAACATAGGCCATATTTACAAGATGGGGGAACCCTAGCCTGGGCAGCAGTGACTCTGAAAAAGTTTTGGGGGTCATGGTGGATAATCAACTGAACCTGAGCTCTTCGTGTGACACTGTGGCCGAAAGAGCTAGTGTGGTCCTGGGCTGCAAAACCAGGAATCTCGAGTAGGATCAGAGAGGTTATTTTACCTCTGGATTTTACACTGGTGTGACCGCTGCTGGAATCCTGTGCCCAGTTCTGGTGCCCACAGTTCAAGAACGATGTCGATAAATTGGAGAGGGTTCCCAGAAGAGCCCTAAGAATGATTAAAGGAAATAGATTCAAGGATCTCCATCTGTTTAGCTTAACAAAGAGACGGTTAAGAGGTAATTTGATCACAGTCTGTATTTAACTGGGGAACAAATATTTAATAACGGCTCTCCAGTCTAGCAGAGAAAGATCTAACTTGATCCAATGGCTAGAAATTGAAGCTAGACAAATTCAGACTGGAAGTAAGGCATCAATTTTTAACAGTGAGAAGAATTAACCACTGGAACAATTTGCCAAGGGTCACGGTGGATTCTTCATCGCTGAGTTTTTAAATCGAGATTGGATGTTTATCTAGAAGACGTGTTCTAGGAATTATTTGGGGGCAGGTCTCTGGCCTGTGCTATGCAGGAGGCCATACTAGCTGATCTCAATGGTCCCCTCTGGCCTTAATCTATTAATCTAAAATCTGTGACCCACGAGAGGCCTGTAACCTTCTGCATCCCCTTGCCATTCGGGATTAAGAGATTCCTGGGTCACTGTGGCAAACACCTCACCTCACCTAGCAAGTCTGGTTACTGCATTGTGGCTGCTAATGGGTGAAAAGCCCTTTAGTTCTTCCCATGTTTAAATTCTGCTTTCCTCTGATGTAGAGAACCAGAATGCTACCAGGTAGTCATGGCCTAGATCCCCCAGACATGATTATTTCTTTAGCAGTTTTATTTTACACCTACAATGTTCTATCTGGGTGTGTCTTCCTAAGGGTGAATAATCCAGTAAAGAAGCTGAGGACAAGGCTACCTGTGCATTGAAAGGCTGTGTCTGCCAAGAGCGGGCGAATCCCTGAAACACTCAGCACTGCTTAGTTGTTGCCCAGAAAAAGTTTGTCCTTTCACATGTGCGAGATTTGGTGAACGCGAAAAGGGATGGCTATTGAATTCAAACGGAGAGAAACTATCCACGGTCATTATCTCTCATTTTATCAGCCACCTTCTCTCTGTTCTTGTTATGATCATGAATGTTCTTGCTGTCTCTTTTCTTCTATTGCATGTTAATTCCAAGTAGTTTCCCAGTAGGAGGACACTGGAAGGCGAGTAGGACAGTTCTCTCTAAATTGGCCCCATCCCAATGTCCTGTGTTTCTCCCTCCTTTTTTATGTTTTCCACTCTCTGCAGCTGTGGGATATTTCTGGAGGCTAGTGGCTCCAGGGTAGCTCTGAAAAGGCCAGCTTGGCACAGAATGAGAAGTGCTCATAGGGGCAGCTTCCAAAGCAAAGTGGCTGTGTCCATCCCCCTGGTCTCTCAGGTTTGCTGAGTAAACACTCTAGGAAGACCAATTTATGGGGAAGACACAATTGTCCTATTTATGGTTTGTTTGGGTTTTTTTATTCTGCACTGTGCGCGTGCATGGCAGTTTACAGAGCAAGATAGTGCCTTATAAGCGTACAGCCTAATTCAAGTATGACCCAGCGAGGGATGACAGTACATCTAGGGTAGAAGTGGGACATGGGAAAATGTGATTCACGCACAGGAGGAGTATGCGGCAGACGGCATCAGTTAGAGATTTTCTTGGATGTTTGGCTAATGATTTTTGATCAGCTGTGACCAGTACTAAGGCTGTGTCCAAGGGGAGAATGAGAACAGCTGTCCCTGGTGGATTTTCAGAGGATGACAGGGACATGGTATCTGTATTATCTAACCACCTGTGCTTGTTTTGCTGTCTCCATTCCCTAGAGTGCATCTGATGGATTTTGGAAGTCAGTGGCAACCCGTGTCCCAAGAGAAGCTCATGAGATCCGCATCCTGAATCCGTACTTCATCCAGGAGGCCGCTTTCAGCTTCATTGGCCTGCCTTTCAACAGCGGCCGGATGGGCAGAGGGGTAGGTGCAAGGTGGGGCACAGAAATCGGAGGGGATGGAAGAAGACGACACCAGAACTTGGTCTGTTTACACATCTGCTGCTGGTTGAAAAGGAAATGTGAAGTATGGGGTTGCTGATTACAGAACTTCTCCTATTAAAAGTGTGTCAGTAAAGATTGATTGGAGCATTAGAACAGGGCACATAGTGTAAACGAGCAGAGTGAAAACATTTCAAGATCCCCATGTGTGTGAGGACTTAAAGAAACATGTATATCATAATGTATAATTTGGGAGACAATCTGTGATCATTTAATCAGACTGTATCATAATGCTGTATGTACACAAGGGGGCCGTTTGGCATTGCCGACTTGTGTGTGTTCTACCATGCTATTTTAATGTTCCGTTAATTTTTCCCCCTAGATTAATTACTCCAACCCTGTGATCAGTTATTCCTCTTCTTCTGACTCCCTTCAGTGGGTCAATATCTTTCTGGTAATGAGAAGGCCAGAATTTGAATGCAACGTTTTAGGTGTAGTTACCACAGTCATGCTGTGTGGTGAGATGGCTTTGCATACAGCCCCAAACTGCATCCCAAATTGGGTCCCAATCTTCAGTGTTGAGATGTGAGAGATTAATATGCTTTGGCTCATGTCCTAATTAACAAGAGTAAGTATGACTCTACCCAGGACCCTTTCATCAGCTCCTATAACCTGACCTTTTCTTCAGGAATATAGCAGTTGCCAGGCCAGATCAGACCAAGAGGCCTCTGTAACGAGGCTGGTTCTGGCGGGACTCCACGGAGAGGTGCCAATTCAGGACAAATTGCTTCGAGCAGGGCAGTTACAGCCCAAGGCTGGGGTTTTTCCACCTCTAAGGCAAACCAAACCAGCCAGACAGAGAGGACTTTGGTTTTACCCCACTGGCTAACCACAAGTCACATAAGCAATTCCCTTAGACACTCCAGTTTCCCAGTATCCCCACCAGTGCCACTCATTATGGGGACAGATGGTTATGAAAACCAATACCCCAGTAAAAGAAAAAAAGGTTCACTCGATCTCAAAGGACCACGCCCCAGATCCAGGTCAATATACAAATCAGATCTTACCCACAAATCACGCTGTTGCCAATCCTTTCGAATCTAAAGGTTTATTCATTAAAGGAAAAAGACAGAGAAGAGAGCTAGAATTGGGTTCAATGGAATCAATGACATACAGTGATGGCCAAGTTCTTGGTTCAGGTTTGCAACAGTGATAGAATAAATTGCAGGTTCAAATCAAGTCTCTGGAGAACATCCCCAGCTGGGATGGGTCTTTCAGTCCTTGGTTCAAAGCTTCCATGTAGCAAAGTCCCTCCAGAGGTAAGAGGCAGACCAGATGGAGGAGCTGCAGCAGGTTTGTATAGTCTCTTGCCATGTGGTCTCTTTGTTTGTTCCAAAGACAAGCTGCCCATCCCATGGCCTGGAAACACCTCAAAGTTCTGTCCATGGGCAGGTCCCTGCATACCTGGCTGAGTCCCAAGGTGTGTCTGCCTTCTCTCTATGGGTCAGTTGTGTAGCTGAGGGTCCTTAATGGGCCACCCAGCAGGCTAGGCAGAGCTGACACCCACTTGTCTGGGGTGTCCCCCAGAAGCAGAGCATAAGTTTGAAATACAGACAGTATAGAGCCAATACTTATAACTTTAACTACAAAAATGATACACACATATAGACACCATAATCCTAACCAGCCAACCATAACCTCGTCTTAGACACCTTATTAGACCCCCTGTATACAAGATTGGTGCCACTACAGGACCTTGGTTGCAAGAATGATCTATACGGTTCCAGATTATGTCAATAATGTCACAGCCCCCTATCCCAATACCCGGTCCCCATAGTGGTCAATGTGAGCTGTTCTGGAAGAAGGTGCAAAACATACATATCACACACAAAAACTACATTCAAATAAGATTGCAGGGTCAAGCTCTCAAAACTGAGGAAATGCCAGAATTAAGGCTGCCTGTGCAATCTTAATTCAGCCCCTTTGTACAGCTACATTAGGTCAATCATTACTTATACAATCACATACTGTCATTTCCAGACAAATCCTGCCTCATTCAGTGCATAGGATGGACGATGCTCACAGAATGAACAGCTGTTCAATAATCTGTGTTCTCCTTGTTGTTCAATGTGTGGCCCTATTCCTTGTTTATTGCACACTTCAAACCTTGCTCAGAAGACAGAATTACAGATTTCCCCACTGGCATGTCTCTGGGGTCACCACTGTAGTACTTGAATGCTTCGTATACATTAATTTATTTATTTTCACAACACTTCAGTGAGATGAATGGGTTTTATCCCCATTTTCTCCTTTGAGTGTGCTCTGCCTATTCCTACTCATGGGCTGCTTTGACTGGCGCAGCCTGAAGGGTAGAACTCTAGCTAGCAGCAGCCTTTGGAGTGCTCACATGTCTCCCTCACCCTGTCCTCCGTGAACATGGGAAATTCCAAGGTGAGGGTACAAACAGGATGCGGCGCTCCTACAGCCTCGTTTCCTTCTAACCCTGAGCAGGGGAATGGTTTTGTGTGAGGCGCCAAAATCCCCTCAGAGCTGTGATTAGTTAGCTGGTTTAAATCCTAGTTATGAAGTAGTTAAATTGTTGTCAGTTAGGTAATAATATAGTTACAGTAAGTTAGTTACCTGGTATGGAACTGAGGAACAAGCCTGATTTCAGAAGATGTGTATTTTGTCTGGTAGTGTTCCTGGCATCAGATACACATGCTAGATGCCTCCCATGTTTATGTGAAGGATACTCACCCTCCAAGTGTTCAGTTTGCTCAGTGTTCACAATGAGATCAAAGAAGAAAAGACAAAAGAGGCTTCAAGCAATTCTCTTACAAGAAGCACAGTTGGCAAAATCCTCCAGAACTTGGAAAGGACAAGATTCCAGGAAAGCCCACAGGCTGGCACAGACATGTCTACTAGAAAGAAAGATAAATCTTCCTCCTCTCCATCTAGTGCTCAAAAAATCTGGTGACAAGGATGAGAAAAGGAAACCCACCAAGGTGCGGGCCTCTTTGTTTACAGACAACCTTTTGGATAAAGTTTTGACTGGCAAGACAGCTCTCAGCAGTGTCAGCCTCTTTGAAAAGAGCCAATCCATGGGAGAAAGATTTTTCTAAACAAAACATATTTAAGGAGCCAATGCATGATATATATCCTCATGGGAAGGTGAGGAAAGATTCCTTTCCGCAAAAAAGAACAGGAGGTCTTGTGGCACCTTAGAGACTAACAAATGTATTTGAGCATAAGCTTTTGTGATTCGATATTCTTGGATCCGGATGAGCCAGTTCTGAAGGTGAGACTTAAGTAACTGGTGAGATGAGGGAATGCTGCAGCACCACAGCAGATAGTAGTCAAGGTTCGTAGATCAGATCCATCCCTGGTTCAGGAAGAGATTGAATCAGGTATAGTAAGAGAACAGGCAGAAGATGTATGCAACAGCCTCAGATATGTGTTTCTCCAGAAAGGAGAGGATGTTTAGAAGAATTCTGAATTTCTCCTCTAGTTTCACCACCTAAAACACCCTCTGTTTTCCCAGCGAAGAATTTTTCTCCCGTTTCCTTGTTCAGCCAAGGGTATTGCTGTCTCCAGTTCTTTCTGAAACGAGAATGACCACAGTGAGGAGTAAGAATATTGATTGCAGACCAGATCCACACAAGAAGTATTATGGACAAAGGCACTCCTATACCTCAGAACCGTCTGGACAAAGTTATGTACAACCAGAGCCAAAGATGGTTTTCTGGCCTGACTGGCAAATGCCACTTTATAGATGGGCCTGTTTCTTTTACTGGTCACAGCTGTGGGTTCATGTCTCCATGATTGGCTTTTCTGGCAACAGTGCACAGGTGTGATCAGCCTGATTGCTGTAAGCAGGGAAGACTGTCCTCTCCCTTTTGCCTGTGCTCAATATGGGGCTTGTAAACCCCATCACATGCCCAGATCCTTTTCAGCAGTATGACCACCTAGCCAGCAATTCCCCATTCCGTATTTGTGCACTTGAATTTTCCTTCCTAAATGAAGTACTATGAACTTGTCTTCATTGAATTTAATCTTCTTGAATTCAGATCCGTTCTCCATTTTGTCAAGGTCGTTTTGAATTCTAATCCTGTTCCCCAAAGTTCTTGCAACCCCTCCCAGCTTAGTGTCATCTTCAAATTTTATAAACATACTCTCCATTCCTCTATCCAAGTCATTAATGAAAATATTGACTAGTACTGGATCTAGGACTGACCTCTGCAGGACCCCACTGGATACACCCTCTCCTTGACATTGATAACTACTCTGTGCATATGGTCTTTCTTCAGGCTCTGCTGACTTGAATACATCTAACTTACCTAAATATTCTGTAACCCGTTTTTTCTGTTTCGGCTCGTGTTCCTTCCCCCGGGTTGTCAGTATTACTTGTGTTGAATCTCTGGTCACCATTACCCTGTTTAGTGGAGACTGAAGCAAAACAGGCATTAAACACCTCAGCTTTCTTGATGTCATCAGTTATGAGGTTTCCTTTCCCGCTTCATCTTTCTTTTGCTCCTTATGTATTAAAGAACCTCTTCTCGCAACAGGTCTGCCTCCGTCTGGACCTCAGAACAAGTGTTACCTTTAACACTGTTTACTTGTGTTATTTTCTCATTTCAAAAAAGGAGGGGGGCCTTCGTCCCAGTTTGGATTTAAGGAAATTAAACACATTTAAAAGTTTCATTTCCACAAGCTTTCTCTAACTTCTATAATCCCTTCTCTTTCCCTTCTGGATTGGTTTGCAGGTCTGGACTTAAAAGACGCATATTTTCGTATTTCAGTAACACCTTGTCAAAGGAAATGCCTGCGCTTTGTGGTAGGGAAGAACTGGTTTTGGTGCAAGGTCCTCCCCTTTGGATTCAGTGTCCTGGGTATTTACAAAGTGCCTGTCTGTAGTAGCAGCATACCTAAGAAGGCAGGGGATGTTTGTTTATCCATATGTGGACAACTTGTTAATATAAGTGT